AAAGATACTTTTAAGATAATAGTACAAGTCACATAGCAACCAATCATGAGCTCGGCTTTTGCAATATGTATGAGCTAATTAACGAACATATATAAACTGTGTAATCTGTCACAATAAACTGAGACTTGATGATCATGATATCATGAGTCTTCTCTCCTGCGGCATCCCTCTAACACCATCTGTTAGAGGTAGGGCAATTACCTTCTGCTAATTGGGCCACCTGTTAAAACCAGGTAGGGCAGTTCTCTTTATCTCTTCCACAACCGATCCTCCCTCTGGCAAATATCTTCTCTTAGTGGGCCATTGAATCTCACTGCATGACTGATAAAATTGCATCATTCCATTGTGAGATGCTCTACCCAGGGGGAAGAGCCAAGCATTACTATCTAACTATAATCTGAGATTTGCAACACCATAGCAGCCTTTTCCAAATAGATTCCCAGAAGAGCAGCTTTCTTTTCCACTGGATTGCCAGAAGATGACCAAGACCATCTACACCACCACTGGACCTTCAGAGGAAGACTACATCCTCCTACAGGATCACTGCTTCAACAGAACCACAGCTGTCACACCAAGACGACTACAGCCACCCTGTAATCAGTCTGCTACCAACTCCACGACCAACAGCGTGTCAGGTCATGTTCTGACTCTGTAAGTAGAGTTTTTTTGTACTATTGCATTTGTATTTTGATTTTCCTAATAAAGAACTACTATTCCTACTCCCATATCTTTGCCTGAGAGCCCCTTAATTTCAAAATTATAATAATTCAGAGAGAGGGAGTTTGCATTTTCCATTTCAAGGGAAGCTCCTGCCTTCCTTAGCAGACACCTATCTTTTCAAACCAAGACATAGGGCCATGACATTCCACAAGAGGAATCACTGGTGTACATTTCATGGACCTCTCTCAATCCTATTAAAGTACTGTAGTCCTGGTTTAAAATAGACAGGTATGCAACAACTTTGAGAGACAGAGATTAAAATGGCTTGTGGATTTTTGTTTAAGAATGGGGAAAACTACCCAAAAAGGTGTTGTTTTATAACATTTTAAAATATACTACATAAAAATTAAAAACTGCAATTAAATAGAATTAAATAAATAAGTGCTTTGGTAGACAAATAATTAGAAACACATAAATGTGAAGATATGGATGCACATTTTCATACGAATACAAATTACAAAGGTAAGACTACTTTATTTAGACCTTTTTGCATTGCTGAAGTATTTTCCTTCTTAAGAGAAGCTAGTATTTTGATGAAGAAATCTGTCATATCTGGTAATTAAATTTCCTGATTTCTTCTGGTGCTGGGTAAGACATCCTGGCTGGAAGGTCTGACTGAAGGCAAAGAACTGGCTCTGTGTGGTCTGGAACTGAAGGATGTGTTGACTGAAGACCCAGTACCAGCTCTACTCCACGTCAGACTGGAGGACACGTTGCTTGAAGGCACGGTAAGAGCTCTGTTTCCTCTCATATGGGAGGATGCATCCATTGATGACCCAGTACTGGTTCTGGTTGGTATCAGGTTGATGACTCTGTCCATTGATGACCCAAACCCTGTTCTGTCTGGTGTCACACTGGAGGGTATGTTGGTGCCAGGGACACTGTAGATTCTGTCTGGTGTCACACTGGAGGGTATGTTGGTGCCAGGGACACTGTAGACTCTGTCTGGTGTCACACTGGAGGGTATGTTGGTGCCAGGGACACTGTAGCTTCTGCCTGCTACCACAACGGAGGCTATGTTGGCTCCAGGTACGGTAGAGGCTCTGTGGCTAGGCACTCTCCAGCATGCTGGAATAAACAAAAGAATAAAAAACAAATCAAGAGAGAACCTATGTTTCCTGTTAAATACCTCTAACAAGGGTATGTATGTGAAGTACTTCTAAATGTTTGCTCCTTAAGTGCTTATTTGAAACACACCGCACCTGAATATTATGCATAAATCTTTAATAGACAAAGGACATTAGCACAGTATCCTTCCCTAGGAAGTGTTGGTTTAGCACTTTATTTGAAGTGCTACAAATACTTACTTACATTTTTTACCTCTCCTATTAATTCCAAAGCTGTGTTTTTTAATCAAGGAAACAAACTTAGTCTGACAAAATTATAACAAAATTCTGAAAAGATGTTAATGCCTCTGTTAGTTACCACACCCCTTTTTCTTCTGAAAAATGTCTCAAAACCTCTCTGTGTGCACTAGATTTAATGATCCCGTATGTCTACAATTAAGTGTTGTTTTATTTGCCTACAGAAGTTGTACAGTATGAAGGGAAATGCTGGCTAGGAATCCAAATCCAAGGGATGATAAATGCTCAAAAAACAGACTTACCATCAGGCACAGGAATAGGAACTGGAGGTCCACCAGCTGCTTGTGGTGAAATGTAAGGCTGAAAAATATCTGTTGAGTAAAAGCAAGTTTTAAAAACCAAGAAATGCACAGAATGGAAATAGTTATGGTTGAAAGGAATGGCTATTACAAAATGTTAATTGTTAATAACAGAAAGAAAGGGAAAAGCCTTTGGTTATTAAAAAAAGAAAGAAAGAGAGAAAGAATGCAATTAAAAGAAGTAATAAAATAAAAAATTCAAAAATCAAACACCCACCCACCTATCTCAATCATTCCCCAAAACCAAAAGAGTCCAAGCAACCAAGAATCCAAACACAAACTAAAACCACAATGACATCCAAACCCACAAAGACATGGGACATATAAAAAATATTCTAGTAATAATTTTAAACCCTGTGTAAGCTTTCCCCACCCCTCCTCTTCTTTAAAAAGTTATCAAAACATTCTGTTTGCACTACTTTAATGCTCCATTATGTTTTCAATTAATTGTTGTTGTATTTCCCTACAGAAGCTGTGCAGCATGAAGGGAGATGCTGGCTAGGAACCCACATCCGCGTGACAGTAATTGCCTAAAAAGCAGACTTACCACCAGGAGGAGGACCAGGAGGTGCAGCAGCTCCTTTGGACACAAAGCAAGGTCCAAAAGAGTCTGTTTAGGGAAAGTAAATTAACCTTAGTGAATACAAATTTGAAAAAAAAGCATGGAAATGCACAGAACTTAAGTGGTTATGGTTGCAAGGAAAGGCCATTACAGAAATGTTAGTGGTGCATAACAGAAAGAAAGGAAAAAGCCCTTGGTAAAAAAAAAAAAAGGGAAAGAAAGGGAAGTTCCAGGAAGTAACAGGAAGGGAAGTTCTGCGACGAGAGGAAGGGAGGAAGGGAAGAAGGGATGAAGAGAGGATGGGAGGAAGTGAGGAAATTAAAAATGGCAATAAAAAAATCAAAAATGAAAGACAGACATACCCACCATCAACACTCCCCAAAACAAGAAAAATTCAACCTACCAAGCAACCAAAACCAAATTAAAATCTAGACTATCTAAGCAAATAGGGACCAATAGTAAAAACCATAACAGCATTCATTTTAATCCCTGTGTTAGCTTTCTCTTCTGAAAGATGGCTCCAAATGTTTCTGTTTGCACTGGTTGTATTGCTCCATTATGCTGACATATAGGTATTGCTGTATTTGCCTACAGAAGCTGTGCAGCATGAAGGGAGATGCTGGCTGGGAACCTACATCCCAGTGACTGCAATTGCTTGAAAAGGAGACTTACCATCACTGTCACGAGCGTGTGCAGGAGGTGTTCTGACTAGTTGGTGACCAATTCGACCCCAGAAAGATTCTATGCAGAGAAAGTAATTTTAAATCTAAAAAATGTTTTCATTTTAGAAAACAAGGAAATGCACAGCACTGGTTTTGGTTGCAAGGAAAGGCTGTTACAAATATTGGTTTATTACATAAAGGAAGGAAAAATTTTTGGTTAAAAAAATAAACAAACAAAGAACAAAATATGAAATAGTAAAATAATAAAAAAACCCCAACCATATACCAAACATGCACCCCCCCTACACCTCCATCACTCCCCAAAACAAAAATAATTCAACCAACCAAGCTACCAAACCTAAACCAAAAACAAATATATCCAAAGAAATAGGGTTCAATAGAAAAAAAAAATTACAGTAGTAATTTTAATCCCTGTGTTAGCTTTCACCATCCCCTTTTTCTTCCGAAAAAAGTCCCAGAAAACGTTTCTCTTAGCACTAGTTTTAATGTTCCCTTATGTTTATATTTAAGTATTGTTTGCCTACAGAAGCTGTGCAGCATGAAGGGAGATGCTGGCTAGGAACCCACATCCAAGTGACTGCCATTGCTTGAAAAGCAGACTTACCATCAAGAGCATGTGCAGGAGCTGCAGCAGGAGGTGTACCACCAGTTTCGGGTTTAAAGTGAACTTGCAAAGATTCTGTTTGGAGAAAGTAAATTTTATAAAGCAAGGAAATGCAGAATACTGGAATGGTTATGGTTGCAAGGAAAGGCTATTACAAAATGTTAATGGTTAATTCTTTCTAGTAGAAGCAATGGGAAAATCCTTTGTCAAAAGAAAAGGGAAGAAAGAAAAAGAAAGAAAGAAAAAGAAAGAGAGAGAGAAAGAGAGAAAGAGAGAAAGAAAGAGAGAAAGAGAGAAAGAAAGAGAGAAAGAGAGAAAGAAAAAGAAAGAAAAA